TCCTTCCCCTTATCTTATCTTCTCTTTTCTTTCTTCCCTCCTTCCTTCTCTTCCTCTTCCTCCCCTCCCTCCCTCTCTCTTCCCTCCCTCCCTCTCCTTCCTCTCCCCTCCCCCCTCTCTCCTCAGCTGAGAAATCTCTTTCTCAGCCCTTGAGGAATTAATCAGCATTTTATTGATGCACCTTTGAAATCTTCATTGCACCTCTTGCTTAATGATTAATCTGGGATGGCTGTCGGTCTTCCACTCGGAAAGAGCCCATTCAGGACTTCCCCTGCCAGGCTTCCCCTTCAGCAGATCTAATCTGGAGACTGATTTGCTGAAGCAGCAGCAGCAGCAGCAGCAGCAGCAGCAGCAGCAGAAGGCAGGACTGGGCTGGAGGGCAAGGGTTGCTCGCTGCCCCTTCTGGTAGTTGGTCTTCTTGAGTCTGCGGAGGGAGGGAGGCTGAAATCAGTGGCTCTTCCTTCTCTCCTCACCTGAAGGGGCAGCTGTGCAGGAGAACCTCCTGGGAGAACCTCTGATGGGCCTGAGCTTGTCTTCTTCTGTCCTTTTACTTCAGTATCCCCAACCCTCCCCAAGCCAATTTGGCTGACCTTTCCCTCCCCATCTTTGTGGCTTCATCCGATGGCCAGGACACAACTATCTTGTCTTCATTTGGGTCCTCAGTGTCACGGACCTATTTCCCAGGGCTGGATCTAGTTTTGGTCTGGTCAATGGCCCTCCTCCTGATCTTGGCTGGGACCCCCCCCCCCTTGCTGGCCCTCCCCAGCCTGAGAGGAAACTCTCTCTGAGCTGACCACCAACAGAAACATCAACTCACTTCCAGACAATACACACAGATTAGTGGCTTGTAGTGTTGCAGGATCCTGGCCTATTGAGTTGAATGCAACCAGTTCTGGCTAAAGAAACAGCATTTTGCCTGATCAACCAATTTGAGCTTTGATCTCTTCCGGCCTGGACTTGGTCTTCATGGGGTTTGTTGGAAAAGTCAGGGAAGGCTTCACAATTTTATTCAGAAGCCTTTGAGGTGCCTTTCCCAAGCCAGGAAGCTGCCTTAATCCAAGGAATTTTTCTTAGCAACCGGAAGAGAGGCATAGTGGTTAGAATCGGGGTCCAGCAAGGATTAGAAGTTCATTGAGTTGGAACTCATCCCAACCTCGTTTTCATGACCCTGGAACACAAGTGGCCTTCCAGAATTTCTGCCAAACATTTGGAGGGCAAAACTGGATTTTCCTGAGGATCTCCAGGGAAAGGAGCCAAGCGCCAACTGTTCTTCCAGGACAAGCTTTTCCCCAAGA